TCACTGCCTTAGATGACTTAGAATACAAATGTTAAATACATTTGCTTCCTGAATCTGTTTCATTCTGTCTTTAACAGTTCTGCACAATGGAAGGTTTTATCACAGCAATAGTTGACGAGTGGCCAAGAACACTGCGTCCTCACAAGGAAATTTTCATTGCTTTCGTGTGTTTAATTTCGTATATCATCGGCCTTGGATTCGTAGCTCAGGTAAGCCTTATTTTTTTGTATTCCAGTAATGTAAGCAATACGCTTGATTACTGATATAAAGCAAACGTTTTTGCAAGCTGCCGTCGTAACTTTGTTAGAATAAATGTTTTATACGTTGTAATTCACAACAATTACGTTTTTGCAACGTTTTTGCAAGATGCCGTCGTAACTTTGTTAGAATAAATGTTTTATACGTTGTAATTCACAACAATTACTTATGTCATTCAATCAAATAAAACAAGTACAGGAAAGCTGTATGAGTAATGTATACAGTTCGAACGTCCCATGGCTTAGTTATAGTCTACTGATTATGCTAGTTTTTTAAAGTCCCAAACAGTAATTTACATGGAGTATGTTTTATAATCATATTATGAGTTTGATATAAGCATTTATTTCTGCATTACACATTACTAAAATATAAAAATACAGTACAGATTTTTCTGTTGTTTATGTTTTTCAGTTTAATGATAATTATCATTTAGAACCGTATATAAAAACGTATAATTTCTCCATTTTATCCCATATTACACAATAAATCTAAGGCTTACAAGCTTCATGTAAACACGTGTTTCCTAATTATAAACTAGGAAGATGAGAAACATTATGAGGTAACAGTGTTTTATACTCCTTTCATATCATTGACTTTAAAAAAAAAACGTACTAATTATGTCACATTTTAGTTCAGCTGAAAGTCTTGAAGTCTTTAGGTATGATATTAAATATAAGTGAAAAACCTTTAAAACTGTACAGAAATTAAGTCACAAGATATTATAAGAGCGTACAACATGTTTGAATTTAGCTAAAAGTAAAAAGTTTATACAAAATCAAGATTCTTTTTTATAGGCGAGAATCACATAATCATGACAAAATAACAATGATTAAATTATCGGAGAGGGAGAAATCGTTGCAATATGAGTGAAAGGTGTTTAACAAAGGAAATAGTAATGACAGAGTGAAAGGTGTTTAACAAAGGAAATAGTAATGACAGAGTGAAAGGTGTTTAACAAAGGAAATAGTAATGACAGAGTGAAAGGTGTTTAACAAAGGAAATAGTAATGACAGAATGAAAGAGAACTGTTGTAATAAGAATACAATAACCTTAGAAATGTTATACAATAAAATAAAGCATTGAAGACTAAGAGAATCACAACGATAAAATGGAAAAGGTTTTAGCAACAGAATGCGAAAGAATATTATAAATAAGAATCTACAGTATTATTACAATAGAAACAGTAGAATTATAACAGTGGTGAGTGAGAAAATCTTACATTTAGTATGAGAAAGAATTAAACATTTATTACAGTCGAACAAAATAAGTACAAAAATGATGAAAGGGAAAATCATGCAATTGGTAGAAAAGCAAATCGAAACAATGGTGAGTGAGAACATTGTGGAAGCTGAAAATGGATGAATTGTATCAACGAATATAATATAATATAATAACAGTGGGGGAGGGAGAGGTCATTTTAATGAATTGGAGAATAATTATGCCAATGAAAAATAATAGAATAATACAATTGAAATACAAACTCTTAACACTTACAGTTGGGGAGTATTTTGAAGAATTCAACAGCATTATACTTTAACCTCTCTGATTATATACATGGGAATAAATCAGTCTTACAGAAATGAGTTTGTTCTCTAATTGACGGAGATAGCAAATACTGTATAAGTCAGTTAATACTCAGATGATAGTGTTAATATATATTAAAAATATCTTACACTTTATTATTTATGTGAAGAGTTCTTTACTCCTTTTTATCAAAAGTTCCGCATTTTGTGAGATAAATAATCACTTGAAAAATTACTGAACTAAACATTTCACGCCTAAAATGCGAGATTCCAAATAGCACTACTAAACTAAATGGTTATGATGAAAAGCTCGACATATAATTAGAAAAATAGGATATGTTGTTGATATTTATTGAAAACACGTACTGTGTGATGTTCGACAAAAATATTAAGGTAAAATTACTTCTATTTTAAAAAGTTTGGGTTAAGACACTAAACGTAAAACTGAAGATATCAAAGATAAACACTGGACATGCTCAATTACATCAAGATGCCACATTACCGTTACAAAGATTGCTGCAAAGAAGATAATTTAAATTTGATAAAATTGAAATGCTTCTATTTTACTTCATTAAAACTTTTATAGTTCTTTGTTTTTATATGTATTCTAAAATTTCTAATTATTCATTTTTTTAAACAAAAGAAATAATATCGTGAAGTTTGAATACAAGATGTGATAATTTGGCATGTATTGCTGAAATTATACGCCAGCTGAATATATGTGCCTACAAACACGTGGATATATCTCAAGCAGAGCCGGCCAGAAAACTATCTGCATACACGGCGAAAAAAAAAGCAACCATTTTGTTTCAATTGGCAATTTCAACACTATAAGATCAGATTTATCTAACCGTTACCTACTTATCTAATAAAGTTTAATAATAATGAATACAGACTCAAACTTAACAAAAATACAGAATGAACTCTCAAACTTAAGCACTAATAATACTGCATAAACACTCAAACATCAATAATTCTGTGTAAACAAACTTTAATAAAAGTAACACACACTTAAAGATAAACACCAATAATACTGAATGAACACTTGGACTTAAACAGCAACATTAGTTCTTTTATCTATATTCATTTTTTACATATATTATTTGTTCTTGCAGGTCTAAACTTAAATTTTTTGTTCGCTAAACCACTTAAATATTATAATTATATTTCAGCAGTGCTTTTCGTTTTAATTTATATATGTACCTAATAAGTGTTCAAGTTTCATAAAAAAGGCACATATTTTGTTTGTAATCTTCAATGTACATGGCCCGGCATGGCCAGGTGGTTAAGGCACTCGACTCGCAATCTGAGGGTCGCGGTTCGAATCCCTTTCAGCCGTGGGTACGTTATAATGTGACAGTCAATCCCACTACTCGTTTGTAAAAGAGTAGCCCAAGAGTTGGCGGTGGGTGGTGATGACTAGCTGCCTTCCCTCTAGTCTTACACTGCTAAATTAGGGACGGCTAGCGCAGATAACCCTCTTGTAGCTTTGCGCGAAAAACAAATAGACAATCAATGTACAGATATTTTTACAGACGACTGATGCTGGATTCCGTATATACCAAAACCATTGAACAAATATATTTACACTGGTTGCCCTGGAGTTTTTTTTTTGATTAAACTCCGGTTTTCACCTAATGAATCTGAGTCTTGTTACAATATGATACATCTTGCTGTTTAATGATTTAGAATAACACAATTTAGTGCTTTAAAGGGTTCTGTTTTTGTTTATCTATGAATATAAAATCCACGATAAATAAATCTTATCAGAAGATCCAGTATATGAAATAAACGTTGTTTTGTTTGTTTGAAGTAAAGCACAAAGCCACACAATGGGCTATCTGTGCTCTGCCCACCACGGGTATCGAAGCCCGGTTTCTAGCGCTGTAAGTTCTCAGACATAACACTGTGCAACTATGGGGACAATAAACATTGTTGCAAGTCTTAATATTATTGTTTTCTTGCGTTGAACATTATTTCAAATGTGCTCACTGACTAAAGGTTGAACGTATATATTTTAACATTGAGTACTTTCAGGTTGAACTGGCGACTGAACTATTATTGTCTTCTGTTCATTAGGGCGGGATGTATGTGTTTCAACTATTTGAATATTATGCAGCTAGTGGATTTTCTTTACTCTTCCTTATCTTCTTTGAAGTTGTCTCCATCTCTTGGTCTTATGGTAAGGTAATTTAACTGAATGGCAAATGAAATACTCATAAATTAAAACACAAATATGTGTAAACGTAATGTATATACACACACAGAGATATAATAGATTAATCCTCTAGTAACGAAGAATTCTTGTGATATCAAAGTTGAAATAGTAGGAAACAGATTATTTACACAAGAAAAGGAAAACGATACTTATATTTATGTAAGTAACATATATATGTATATATATAAACTCAAATACTTAGTGACCTGTATTTCCTTTTACTGGAAACATTAAACATCTGTGTAAAAATATTATTGAAATTCAACGAACAGTTATTCGAGTAGCTTAATACATGTGCCGAAGAGTGTACTGAACTATTAATGTCAAAACAGTAAAAATCATCGGAAATGAGGATGAAGACTTGAATATCGGTAATATAAAGCAATATTGATCCAACATACGAAATTCAGTTTGAATGTTAATTTCATGTTTCTATGGAACAACGAATTAAATAGAATTGGTAAATATTACAGATCACCAACTTAATATTGTTCAACCAAAACAGTTGTTGAGTTGTTGTTCAAGCAGCTGTCTCGACTACTGTTGTATCTGGTAAGCCCTGGTAGCAGAAGGAGAGTACTGGATGTAGCAGATATCGTGTGGTTGGCGTATTATTACATTCTTCTTTGCTTCCACTCGTGGTTTAGTACAACTGAACAGATTGTGTATAAAGCGAAAGTTTATAAAACATTGTTTGCTAATATGTGTTTCTAATGTAGGTGTGAATCGATTTTATGACAACATAAAGGATATGATCGGTTATTACCCTTGCCTGTGGTGGAAACTCTGCTGGTTCGTGTTCACACCTCTTATTTGCGGAGTAAGTATAAGTGGTATTTGGTGTTAGGTAAGTTAGCTTTGAATTTATGATTGTTAAGTGATTCTCAACAAATAGAAATTCTATGGATTACTGTGAAGTTGCAAAATAGCATATCCATAAATATTTCAAGACTTAATATTTTACACATTTAATTTTCAAGCTTATTTTCTTCAAAAAAGAAAGTTAGGAAGGGCTCATAGCTTGGAACCATTTTTCAAAGTAAGATCAAACAATGCTAGCGAAACTTTTTCCAGCAACACTGACAGATTGTTACCGATTTTCTCCTACTTCCCATATTTTTTATTATTTCTTCTAATAAGGAAACTAGATATAGCAGCAACTGCAATGTTTCGTGTTTGTGGACGAGAAAACAAGAATCAGAAATAATATATAATAATAGACTATTTTTCTCGGTCTTTTTATCTAATAGCTCTATAAATAAAAATGAAACACAATACTCTAATAGCTATCTACTACAATCACTACAATCTATAATGAATTGGATCTTCAGTTTCAATAACTGTTTTGTAAAAGAGGTACCATTTTTGCAGAATATGAACATCCTTTGAATCATGGGTCACATATATATATATTTTAATTTATCATACAAAATGCTTAGTTTTATATCACATCTCATTTCATTCTTCTCTATATTCATCGCCAAATATAGTATATTTTATCTTGTTTGAGAAAGATTAATCTATAACAATTTATAATCTTAAAAAGGACACTAACATTAAA